GATATGTAAACAATACAGTTCTTTCCCCTGTCGGGGCTACAGCACACTGCTATGTAATGGCTCTGCATAGCTTACTGTGAAATAGCACACAGCACACAGTTTTCTCTTTGATTGCCCACATATTAACCCCTTTCTGCCCAGTGCCATTAGTACAGTGTCAGTGCTTTTTTATTAGCACTGATCATGTATTGGTGCCACTGAAGATGTCTCAGTGACACCACCCAGTGTCAGAAATGCCCGCCGCAGTCCCGCTATAAGTCACTGATCGGCCGTCATTATTAGTAAAAAAAAAAATAAAAATCCAGTATCTATACTGCCATTTGTAAAAGCTATAACTTTCATGTAAAACCAATTAATTTACATGTATTGGGATTATTTTTTAGCAAAGACATGTAGCAGAATACATTTTGGCCTAAAATACATGATGAAATTTTGATTTTTTAAATTTTTTTTTACAGGACATGTTTAACCTCCCTGGCGGTATGATTCTTTCCGATTTTTGGTGCTGAAAGCGGTACCATTTTTTTGCATGGAAATATGTAGCTTTTTTTATTGTAGGCCTGTAATTCTTAGGAATAACTCACTGAAATCTGTACCGAACAAGAGTCTAGTAAACATCCCGGGTAGGATAAAATTTGAAACACGTAATCATAAATTATCTAATTTAATAAATAATCATAAAAAATAAAATATAAAATCAAACCAAAAACACTGATATTTGAAATATAGCGCCAAGTTAGCACATTGCTGAGCAAAGTCGCAAAATCGTTTTCAGTGTCTGATGACGAATTTCCCCACAAATCATTATCACTCAATTCTGCAAGTGGTTCTGATTTACTATCGCTGTTCTCTAGCTGATCTAAACCACTTTTGACCTAAAGGGACACTTTTTGGATGCCATGGACATTTCTCAGTTTCCAGGCAGAAAGAACAGACAAAATGCAGGCAGGGCGCAGGACAAAGCATTAGGGACAAGATGTATGTGAAATTGGTTGAGACAGCAATGTTTTACTATGTAAAATGTAAAAAAAAAAAAAAAAAAAAGAACATTTTTTAAAATTTTTCAATTTCCCGCCGCCAGCGGCGCCCGTACGTCCCGACGTCACAGGGACAGGACACAGAAGCCGGATGCCGGCATCGGCCGAAGGAAATGGCCGGGGACGCTGCAGAGGACACATCGCGGGAGCGCAGGGTAAGGTAAGTAAAGAACAAATGCCGGAGCAGTGCCGCATGGTATTCCCGAGTGTAGCTCGGGGTTACCGTTTGTGGTACTGAAATGTTACCCCGAGCTACACTCGGGAATACCGCCAAGGAGGTTAATAGCAAAAAGTCAAAATTATTGTTTTTTTCCTCAAAATTGTGGGTCTTTTTTTTTATAGCGCAAAAAATAAAAACTGCACAGGCGATCAAATACCACCAAAAGCAAGCTCTATTCATGGGTAAAAAAGGACGTGAATTTCATTTGGGTGCAGCATTGCATGACCGTGCAATTGTCAGTTAAAATAACACAGCGCTGTAATGCAAAAAATGGCCTGGTCAGGAACGGGGATAAAACCCCTGGAGGGCAAGTGGTTAAGAAATCTAATGCTGATCGCTGAGAACAATGTATCTCTTCCAAAAGTTATTAATATTTTATATTCAATGACTAAAGTGTAATCTCTTTCAGTATGTATGTTTTGGTGTGTGTGTAAATAACTAAGGTGGGTTGAGGTCTTAGGGTGGCATAGATGGAACACAATTCAGCTGGTTCAGCATGAACCATCTATAGCTATTCCCACTACAGAGAAGTCAATTTAACCTCTTCACGCCTGCGCCTCCTGGCCCTTTAACCACTTCAAGTCCAGACACTTTTACCCCCTTCCTGTCCAGGCCAATTTTCAGCTTTCAGCACTGTCACACTTTGAATGACAATTGCGCGGTCATGCAACACTGTACCCATATGAATTTTTTAGCATTTTTTTGAGACAGATAAAACTTTATTTTGATGATATTTATTCACCATTGCTATATAAATGAAAAAGTCCAAAAATTTTGAAAAAAAGTGTTTTTCTTCAAAAATTTTGCAAATAAATAATCTTTCTTCATAAATCTTAGCCAAAATTTATTCACTTATCTTTTTAGTAAACAAAGATAACCCAAATTAGTTTATAACTAAAAATTATAATTTTTTAAAACTTTCTTTTCATTTTTATTTTATATATTATTATTTTTTTTTTTTTTTTTTTTTAACATACTGTCACCCTAGCAGTACATCATTCACATATTTCACACGTAGTAAGCAATGATGTCAGAAATTACATCTTGCTTACTAGTATTCATGTGATCACTGATTGTTCAAACAGTGATCACATGATCGGGACCTCACACAGAGGTCCCGTACAGCGATCAGTGTTCCGCTGTGTCCAGAGGACACAGCGGGCACAAGATCGCAGTGCCGCACGCTCCCAGGGAGCGCACACAGGCTGAAATAGCGGGCGCCGTTTACGAACGGCAACCCGCCCCTGTACTGTTCCCCTCCGGCCGTTTATATACATGGGCCAGACGGGAAGTGGTTAAGGGGTTTCAGACGCAGGAGGCGGGGTGTGGTTTTTAGGGTCACAGCCCCAAGTCCAATCACTAACAAACTCATGCAGACTCCACCTCCGCAACATCGCCAAAATACGCCCGTTCCTAACCCCAGAAACCACTAAGCAGCTCATCCACTCCCTCATCATATCACGACTTGATTACTGCAACTCCCTCCTCACTGGCCTGCCTCGTCACAGGCTATTCCCGCTTCAGACTATCCTGAATACGGCAGACTCATCCACCTTACCAACCACTCCGTTTCCGCCACCCCCCTCTGCCAATCCCTCCACTGGCTTCCCATTGCCTAACGGATCAAATTCAAAATCCTAACACTGACGTACAAAGCTGTCCATCATACTGCCCCAAACTACATCACCGACCTGATACCCAAATACCACCCAAAACGCACACTCTCCGCTCCTCACAAGACCTCCTTCCCTCTAGTTCCCTGGTCTCCTCCTCCCATGCCCACCTCCAGGACTTCTCCAGGGCGTCACCCATCCTCTGGAACTACCTACCCCAATCCATCAGACTATCATCTACTCTCCTCTCCTTTAGGCGCACCCTGAAAACCCACCTCTTCAGGGAAGCCTACCCCACCCCCTGCTAATTGCCGACCTCTTCCACTCTTCCTACCACTCCATCCCCCACAGCTTTTCCTCCTGTACCACTATCCCCTCCCTCCTAGATTGTAAGCTCCGAGGAGCAGGGCCTTCGAACCCCTCGTGTATCGCATTGTATTGTTATTGTACTGTTGCATGTATTGTCTCCCATTGTAATGTACAGCGCTGAGCGAACTGTTGGCGCTTTATAAATACTGTATAATAATAAAATAATAATAATAATAATGTGACCGCCTGTGATTCGCTGTCACGGCAGTCACATGATCAGAAAATTTCCCGATCGCAAGGGGAGATCGGGACCTTTCCGTGAAACACCAACATATGTGCTGGGAGTGCGCACGGTGCACTCTCTCAGTACATATGTTTTTTCAAACGGTATGCAAATATGCGTCATGGCTCAGCCGCCGAGAGGCCGCATATTTGCGTACTGTCGGCATCTCGGGATGGAGTGCTGATTCTTACATGTGCAGTGCGGATTTAAAGGTCCGGTTTCAGTGCAGATTGCATTTAACTTGTTCAGTGGTTCAGGGATGGATCAGGACAGGTTTTTGGTGACACAGCTGTGGATTGTACTGTCCACAGGTTCGGGGCAGGTTTGGATGCAGTTTTGCAAGGCTCAGGACAGGATTCTGTGCTAGCCAATAGAGAATGCATGCTGATGTGACATAAAAAAGCATGTAAACTTCTTGTACACTTCCCTGTTTGCCTCTACCTGCGTTCCTGTTGTACAGCATACTGTGCTTGCAAAAACACGTGTGCTGCTCTGCCCCTGCTCACAACAACTGTTGTAGATGCAGCAACAGCAGTCTTGAGACAAGAGGAGGAGAAGAGGAGAAGGAGTAGGAGCAGAAGAAGATACTAGGTCTATTTATTGATTCAAACAGGTAGGAGAGAGGCCAGTTCATGATCATTTATGAAGACCCCCATGCACATGAAGAAATGTTCTTTGATTACACATGCATGTCATGGGATAGATGAGTACATATGCATAACCTCAATCCATATGTTTCCAAATGTGCATGTTGTGTGAAGTAGCTCTTATTATTGATTTGTCTGTGATTTTCACCCAGCATCTTATCCGTAGCAAAAATTCACATATAGCTATAGGCAATGTCATCGTGGCACAAAAAAAAAAAATGTTCTTCTGCCATTAAATATGCGTAATAATCAGATTTTTTTTTTACATCAATTTTGTTAAGTTGCTAAGTCTAGTCTACACTCATCTGCAGTGTCAGAACCTACAGAAAGTGTCCAGCCTGCTGAAAGATTACTAATCACATTAACCTCCCTAGCTGTCTGATTATGTCCATATTTCTGTGCTCAAAGCGGTACATTTTTTTGCATGGAAATATGTATTTTTTTAATTGTAGGCCTGTCATTTTTAGGAATAACTCACTGAAATCTATCCAAACAAGAGTCTAGTAAACATCCCAGGTAAGATAAAATTTGAAACACAAAATCATAAATTATAATTTCATAAATATTCATAAAAAATAAAAATATAATAATAATTTTATTCAATAATATAATCAAACCAAAAACACTGAAATTTGAAATAGAACGCCAAGTTCGCCCATCACTGAGTAAAGTTGCAAAATCATTTTCAGTGTCTGATGACGAATTTCCCCACGAATCATTATCACTCAATTCTGCAAGTAGTTCTAATTTACTATCGCTGTTCTCTAGCTGATCTAAACCTGCTTTTGACCTAAAGGGACGCTTTTTGGACGCCGTGGATGTTTCTTAGTTTCCAGGCAGAAAGAACAGTAAAAATGCAGGCAGGACGCAGGACAAGGCACTAGGAACAAAATGTATGTGAAATGTTTGATACAGTAATGTTTTACTATGTGATTTTAGTGTATTTAGTGAATGTCACTTTTTGTCATTTTCAAATTTCCTGCCGTTCCGTCCCCCGTACGTCCCGACGTCGCAGGGAACGGAACCCAGATGACAGATGCCGGCATCCGCCGGAGGACATTACAGGGGACACTGCAGGAGGGACATCGTGGGAGCGCAGGACAAGGTAAGTGAAGAACAGATGCTGGAGCAGCACCGCATGGTAAGCCCGAGTGTAGCTCGGGGTTACCGCTTGTGGTACTGAAACTTTACCCCGAGCTACACTCGGGAATACCGTCAGGGAGGTTAAGGTAATGCTCACCATTACTGACCTTTTGCATAGGGGATTGGGGCACAGAAATATTTTTGGACTGCAGTTCTGTTGTTTGTGTACTAATCACTATAAATAAATTAAAATAATGTGAATGACTTCTACGTGCTGTAAATAATCTCTGCAGATCTACTGCTTCCACTTTGCATTTACTTTGTTATGCTGTTTAGAATAGAGAGAATTGAGAATAGTAATTTGAACTCATATAATTCAGTTACATAATGTTATATTGTACAACATACAAATACTCCTCGCTTACTGACCTACCTGTTTAACCACTTCTTGACTGTGCTATAGCGAAGGACGGCTACACTGCAGTTGTCCCGTTCTGGGAGGGCGTCATATGTTGTCCTACCAGAACATGCCCCCCGCATTTTCCCTGTGACGCGCACCCAGCACTCTCTGTGATTGCTGTTTCCTTTAAACACAGCTGATCACAGGACACGGTAATGGGCCAATCACAGCAGCCTTTTACCACGTGATCCGCTGTGTCCAGTCACAGCTGATCACCATGTAAATACACTTGCCGATTATCAGGAGTACTTTCCTCATGCTTTCACAACGTGAGGAAAGTACTGCCGATAACCGGCAACTGTGAAAGGATTCATCTACACTGATAATCAGTGCCCTGATTATCAGTGCAGCCCCAAAAGTGCCCATCAGTGCAGCCAATCTGTACCTGTCAGTGAAGCCAGTCGGTGCCCTTCAGTGTTGGCCATTAGTGCCCATCAGTGCTGCCTATCACTGCCACATTTCATTGCAGCCTCATCAGTGTCTCCTCATCAATGCCCACCAGTGCCGCCTCATCAGTGCAGCGTATCAGTGCCCATAAGTGCTGCCTATCAGTGTCGCCTCATCAACCCACATCAGTGAAGGAGAAAAATTACCTGTCTGCAAAATTGTATAATAAGATATTAATATAACTTAAGAACTTGGGATTCAGAAATAATTTGCTTTTAATTACCATAGTGAAAAGTGTGTGTACAGATACTCCTCACTTAATGACCAGGTTCCATTCCAACAACCCAGTCAGTAAACGACGGCGTATCTGTCATAGCGCAGGTTGGGTCGTAAGTAATTCCCAGTAATGACACAGATAAAATATTAATAGTCATTTATCACAGTATAAAAACACAAACTAAAACATTTTAATATAATTGAACATAAATTAACAAATACGTTAATGCCTTTTCCCTGAAGACTTCCCTGAGGCATCAGCCATAACAATTTTTTTAAACTTGTTCCTCAACGGAGGAGAGCATCAGTTTCCACAGGTATCATTGATCAGTCATCACAGGTTTTAGTAACTTTTGTAGTCATGGTCCTCAGCAGAGGCCTGATCACATCCAGCTGTGTTAGTGTGTTGATGGTGCATGTACCAGCCAGTGCCATTGGCATTCAGGATTGTGTCCGTGTCAATATTGCTGTGGGGGGGGCCTCATAGAAGGAATTGGTGATAGGATGGGATAGAGAATTCCATGGTGCTTCATAGATGGAGGTTTGCCACTCAAAACTTGAGGGACAGGTCGGAGGAATATAGGGGTAGGGTTGTCTATGGGTTGTGGGGTAGGGAAGGAGACTGGAGTAGGGAAGAGGAACTGGTGAAGGTGGCACATATGATGTGGCAAAGGATTCTCCTGATGTGGCTTTGAAAATGAGTGGAGCAGTTCTTGCATGGCCATTCTCATTTCGAAGTACCACTCTGGAAGAAAATCTTTCATGAGGGGCATTAAGCTTAGGGCTAGAATGTTATGAGGATAGAAAAATGCATCCACTTTCTCAATCATAGCAGTCAAAGTTTCAAGAAGACGATCATTTGAGTTGTCTGCAGAGGGTGTCCTCTGAACTGCAGGTCTTTGCCTTCTTGGAATTTTGACTGGCCTGACAATGTCTGCTGGGCTGGAGGATGGCCCAGGTGTTGTAGCATCAGGCATGCTGGAGAATGGCCCAGATGAAGCATCAATCATGCTAGATGATGGCCCAGGAGTAGCATAATGCACTTCAGAGTTATCTTTAGGACTTGTCCCAAGATTTGAGGAGATGAGCATGTTCCTCGTTGTCCTCCATAATGATTTCTTCCTGGGCCACCTGGTCCTCCATGACATCTTCTTCTTCCCATCTGGCTTGTGTGCTGTAAATAAAATGTATTTTGGGTTAACTATGTTTTATTACATAATTTCATATTGCACATACATTTCTGAGATAGATGAAAGCTTACTCTCTCATTTCCAAAACTGGTTTCAGAAATTCCAAATCCACAGCATACATATATGGGTCTTTGGAGATGCCCCTGATCCACTCTTGATCTCTTTAACCCCTTCACACCTAAGCGTAAAACAAATCTTATCCTTCCACTAAATGACACTGATACTGATTTAAATAAAAAAAAAATACCGACCCTTGACCCTGACCTTTGATCCAAACACTAACCCTGGCATTGACCTAGAGCAAACCTTGATCTAGGTATTTTTATTTATTATTTTATAATCTTTATTTATTTTTTTACAAACACTTTTTTTTCTCTCTGAAAGGTGATCTAAGGCAATGTATCTCTCTCCTCCATTCAGAGAGAGAAAACAAGGGGGGCTAGCTTACAGTGACTGATCACTGTGATATCAAATCAGAGGCTTTCACAGCGATCATGTGACCCGGAATCAGGAGTTCCGGGTCTTGATTGTTAGAACAGGACCTGGGGCTCTCGCTGACACCCCGGTCTTTGTGCTGGGAGTGCGCTGTGTGGCGCACTCCCAGCACAAAGACAGGTACAAAAATGAGCGGCCCCACAGAAAAAAAGCCCACACCAGTGGGTCTGCTAATTTTGCGTATGCTTGGCGCCAAGAAGTTAATATTCTGTAGGTGCTTGCGGTATGCATCCAGCATGTTGTGCCAATGTCTTTGTATGCTGTGACCTGGAAAACACAAATAACAGAAGTAATTATTTTTCTCCTTGCTTTTAGGTACAGGTAATTCCATTACAAGTCTGCATTATGAGTTTAAGTTGGGGAAATCAACTATCAGTGGCATTATCCATAAAACCTGCAGAGTAATATGAGATCTGCTACTGAATGTGGTGATGATGAAACCAACAAAGCAAGAATGGTCTGATATAGCTGAACCATTCTGGGAATGTTGCAATTTCCCCAATTGTGTGGGGGCCATCGATGGCAATCACATCCTCATCATTAAACCAGTTGCTAGTGGTAGCAAATATTTTAACTATAAAAAATATTGCTCATTGGTATTATTGGCAGTGGCAGATGCAAATGATAATTTTACATATATTGATATAGGTTCTTATGGAAGCAGCTCTGATACCAGTGTTTTTACACATTCTTCATTTGGTAGAATGCTGCGTGAGAATACACTTGACCTACCCAATAACTGCCCACTACCAGGAACAAGTGAGCCTGTACTACCCTATGTTTTCTGAGGTGATGAGGCTTACATGCCTTCAGAGCACATGTTAAGACCTTATTCTAGTCTCTCACTGACTACTGAGAAGAGGGGTTTCAATTATCACCTCACCAGGGCATGCAGAGTAGTGGAGTGCAGTTTTGGGATTCTGGCCAACAAGTGGCGTTTCTTGCATATGCCTATAAATCTGAGCATTGAGCATGCTATCTCTGCTGTACAAGCAGCATGCGCACCTCACAATTATTCTTCATGTACTTGATGGCTTCCTCTTTTAAGATTCGTTGATGCATGACATGGAATGGGCACAAAGGAACGTAACTAAGGGCACCAGCAGTGGGTCTCCAATTAGTAAGGAATTTACATCATTCTTTATCTCTCCAGCTGGTCATGTGTCATGACAGCTTGATTCTATTAGATAATGTCTAATAGCACACTTATATAAAAAAATATAGGTGTACCTCTGTTTACGAATGCCTCGGTTAAATCCATTGAAAATATGCCTTGGTTTACGAATTTTTTTCGCAATACAAAGTGTATGTCTGTGCTGATTTTTAAATGCGATTGCCAGCTTTTTTTTTTCTTCATTATAGCTCACAGAATTAGCTGTCACTTTCCCCGGAGCTACAAAGGATACTTTGTTTCTTTTATCTTGGGAAACAAACTAAAAGGAAACATTGTTTCTTTTAACTTGGGGAAAGGAAACTTTCTTTCTTTTAGCTGGGGGGAAAGTGACAACTGATTCTCTGAGCTATTGTGAAGAAAGAAAAAAAGCCGGTAATTACTTTTAAAAACCGGCACTGACCTATAGTGAAAGCAACTTTTTTTGTTTAGTTTTTTTTCTGACCTCTGGAATGGATTCATTCAATGCATTGCTATGGGAAACCACATTTTGGTTTACAAAATTTATGCAATACGAAACGTCCCGGAGAACGGATTAACTTCGTAAACCAGGGTACACCTGTATTAGGATGTTGCACGAAAAATAAAAAATACAAATATGAAGAAAAAATTATCTCGACCTAACAATACTAGAAATCAGATTGAGTGCAAAATCAGCAAAACTGGCAATAAACACCCTCCAGGGGTACCAATACTAAAATGATTAGTGTATACCACAGTGTGAAATAAATAAATAGATGAAGTATAAATTATCATTTAGGACAGTAAAATAACAAAGTGTCCGATGTGAAGAGCAATTATTCTACAAATACACACCCGCCAGAGGTGTTAATGCATATAAGCTAAGGAAACAATAATTCTGACCTAACATTGATCATTGTTCCCTTGGCTTATTTTTGACTCTTAACACAAAGCTAGGAGTCCACCATATCTGGTGAGTGTGGAGTGCACAGAGCCACGATATGGCCGCGATTTAATGCGCATGTGCCGAATTACTTATAAATAAGAACAGCGGACGACACAGTGTGATTGGCGACCCCCCTCTGAGGACGTGCTTGAGCACGATACGCGTCAGGAGGAGAGCCACACCACGCCGTGATGTCACACCGCCGGAGCAACGTGGAGCTCCGGCGGCCATCTTACTACATCTGACGGTTAGTCATCATTGATC